TTAATAAAAATAAATAGTATAAAAATGTTTCGAGCCCAATAAGGGCGGCGTGCGGGCGAGGGTGAACAGAGGCGTTTGTTGCGAATATTTGACACGAGGTTTGACACGTGCAACAAAGGCACACATTAGAAAGCCGATTTTTCGTCAAACGTCAGTCGACCTATCTAAACTGGAAACGGGAACAGGCAATCTAATTAACGGTCAGCTTTTACCCTCAAGTAGAGCTAGCCGCAAGGGGCCGTTTAGAAAACAAAGGTGATTAACATGTTATGTTATTTTTTGTTGGATATATTTTTTTTATGGTGGTGGTGGTGGTGGTGGTTTTGTTTGGTGGTGGTGTTGGCGGTGGTTGTGGTGGATACGACAACGCGCGTTGTAACGGCGCAACAACTTTGTGTTCCGGCCGATTAGCTGCTAGTCGAAAACGGCTTCAGCTGAAGGACCTCGCAACCGCGCCACCAGCGTGGAGAGCGGGAAATAAAAAAAGAAATAAAAAAGGCAGGGGGAGGGAAGAGTCTGCGCAAACAAATCCGAGCGAAAACAACAAACTGGCTTTCCAGCGCCAGCGCCGATCAGTAGGGAACTCTCGGCCATCCCCTCCCTCCCGTGGAGATCCTCGTGGGAGGCCGTGGGGGAGGCAAAACCAGCCGCGAGCCTCCAGGCTCTCTTTATAAATGCTCTGGGGCGGGACTGGGCGTGTTATACAATATAGGCAGAATACTTACTGGACTCGGAAGTTGCGCGTCGGCGACGCCTCTGCTGCTCGCCCTGCTCTCCACCAGCTGTTGCAGCCGCGCCTTCAGGTCGCGTGGTGGGTGACCTTGGAAGCAGAGTATATGCAAACTTTTACAAATATTTTAAGGGATTTTTGATTTATACAACTCTAAATTCGGCTCGAGTAATAATAAATTTACAATAAGTGGGATGACTTAAATTTGAAACCGATTTTAAAATTTACGTTTATTCTATTGGTACTTTTTTTTGAGGGTCGTGAACACGGACACACCGAACTTAAATTCTCCTACCCTAACACTTGGAGAGGGCAAATGATAGAAAGCTTGTCAACTTCATCCTACGGATGTCGATGTCAAGTGTCAAGTACGTATAACGTGGAATGCTCTCGCGAGAACCAACTTGCTGAAAATGTCTTGAGGTGACGGAACGAGCAGACAATCGTCGACGACCGTATCTGTACTTTTCAGCGCATGCGGCCTCGCGCTCGCTGACCTAGTCGTGCGGTCAAGTTCGCGCTCGAGATCACTCCCTTTCATGAATTAGCCGCCTCCGCCCCTCCCCTCCCTCCTTGTCCGCACATTCCCATAACCACCGCGGTGAGCAGTCGGCCGCGGTGCCCCCCTCCCCTCCCCCACC